CAAGTTAATGTACTGGTATATGAAATATAGAAAACTTTTAATGTTTACATACAAACATACAAACACATAATTTGAAAACTAAAATAAGGCATTAAATATCAAAAGAAAAAAATGTAGGATACATATCTCTATCTGCTGTCTATAAAACACACGGTGTTTGTCCTGGAATTCCAAAAACATTGTCTATATTCTTGGGTTTTGTGTTTTTATTGATAAACATGACATCAGTTTTGATTTCTTTAGATTCTTGTTTGTGAATTTCAAATGCAGTGTAACACACGTCTGTAGGAAATTTGTTGAAACGATTCAATAGGAGGAAGAAAGGAGCCATTTTCAAATAAAGTGACCAAAATAGGACTTGTTACTCTAATTTTTTCACACGTAAATGAATGATTTTGGTGAATGATATTTATTTTTTAAGTCACTGTTAAAATTGAATTTTATCATAAATAGTAACATTCATTGGAATTTTGCTAACATCTTGTATGTTTCTTTTCCCAGCACTTTTATCCCTCTTCTTTTAATTATAATTTTGATGCGCTGGGCTTTTTCGCCCAAGAGATACAAGAATTCAACCTATTCAATTTGCAAAGATTCATCTTTTTTGTTTGCCAAAAAAGGTATATATATATATATATATATATATGCATTTTTAAACCAATTTTTGTTCATAATAATCTTTATCAAAACTAGAACTATTGAAGTATTATTTTGACTTCCTGTATAAATAATGTCATACATGAATTGGATAAAACTGTGCAATTTCATTCCATAAATTCAACAAGTTTAGCGGAAAACTTTAGAGAATGTGGAGAACATAGCCAACTATCTTATTACATAGCTGACTTTCTTCGCCCTGTTCTAAGTTAATGAGGCGTTTCTGTGTTCGATGTGACGTTCAACCCCCTTAATGACAAACCCCACATTAATGACAATATCCCTGGTTAATTCTTATCACCAGTTTTACATGAAACATTGCTAATTAAGATAAAAATTATTTCTTCAAGATAAACAGCCTCTGACACTTTCACACTTGCATCTGCAATTGAGCTAACACGACATATGATTTTGGAAACTCGATTTTGTTCTTATCTTTTAAAAAAAACGAATTCATTTTATGCATGTAACTTATATCTAACCCCAAACGTGCAAATCTGAAAGGTTACAAAACCTGGATCGCATAATCACACGTAATCTAGATTTTTGGTGGTGCAAATGTTTAAGATATATGGGTTGTCTTTCTGGATCAATGCAAAGAAAGAAAAATAGTACACGATTTTACTCTTTTTGAATGAAAGTGGAATTTCAAGGCTACAATTTACGTATCAAGCATAAAAAAAATAAAATATTAATATTTATAAGAATCCTTGGGAATTCTTTTTCTTTGTTAGAGGACAATTTTCTAACTACAAGTGCACTAAAATATGTAATATATTATGCATTTTTTAATAATAAAGTTTTTACAGATTTGATTTGTTTACAATCGATCTCTTTTGGGATTTGGACAATGTATCATAGGAACTTCCTCGAAGAAAAGTACTTATACCATATAGTTTTCAAAATGAATATTTTCCATTATGAAAATTGAATAAAAGCTTATCTTTATTTTAAAAATCGAGACTAAAGTAGAATTTAAATATTCTTTACTAGTCGGACAGCACAAACCCCCGCCAAGAAAAGCATGGAGTGTTCGAGTCTTTAACATTTCATTTTCGGCCGGAAATTTACGCAACAATTTTATCTTATCAGTATTGCCGTGAAAACGTCTCTACATAATGTTTTACATTAAGTATTGAAATCATTCATATGCGATCGTAAAACGTATACCTAACTGCGAGGGAATTTTATAGATAAGAGGAACACTATTACCACAAGACCAGATCATTGCTGGAACATAAACGTGAACTTAAGTGATAAAACTCATTCATAAAATATTGAAAGGACCTCTAAGATCTTCATTTTTAATAAATGTCGAGACCCCTTTATTGGCAGGAAAATAGGGTAGCAAATAGAGTAAGAAGCTAGATAAAATTTCACAAAAGTTATGCAAAGCTTATCTTATCTATATTCACTATGTATATGCAAACACTTCAGAAAAAAAAGTTATTGGCATGTCTTCAAAATCTGGTAGATGGCTTGTTCGGTGTGACAAAGCCCAGAAACACTTGAAAATACAAAACTTGAGTGTTTTGTTTTGTCAATATTTAGAAACCAATCGAACGAAAATATACCCGAAAATAAGGAGGGATGAGCGAGTGTTCGATGAGCGTTCTTGCCTCGACTGGTTGTTATCTTGGTAAAGTGGTGCTAAGATAAAGCGCCATCAATCAGTAGTCTTTAATAACGACATTTGGACAGTTGTTTGAGATAAAGGATCGCCACTTAGAGCTGATTTTCAGTCAATATATGGCGATGTCTTGATCTTAAAAAGACTTGCTAGATACTGCAGCTCTATATTTCTCAAGTGGCATCCTTCATTTCTGGAAAATAATCACCCAAATTTTCTTTCAAATGAAAGAAAAGAAAACAAAATATCCTCAAAATGTAATGATGTACAATTATTATACTTGACGGGGTTCTTCGCTTTCTTTTACTACAGGTTCTCTAAATTAACATTAAAAAGAAGACAAAAATAGGTTTCTGTAGTAACTTCTTGTCATAATCTCTGTAATTTCCTTTTTTTGGTTTGTTTGTTTGTTTTGGACTAGTATTTGTGGAAGAGTGTGTGTTGCAATTTTTTTAATGTAGCCTGTTGGCGACCTTTATGTGTAACAAGATTGTGAGTTGTGTGTTTTGATTGCACTGATAATGTGGATACGTCACCGACATCCTAGAACACATAGATACAACAAATAAGATGATATCATTTAAGAAAAAGATTGTCCCAGACATCTCGATAAATCAATGCCATTTTATACCCATTTTTCCTCGCCGGCTGCAAACATTTGGTGCCTTCCGATTTACGAAAATGTACACATCTCTCATCAAAAATGATCATGCTAGTTATCATAGGAGATTATCAAAAGGAAGTTATTTCAGCCAGAACTTGTCCTGAAATAACCTAATGCTACAAGCTTCAAGTCTTTGTATATTGTGTGTTCGGTGTCCCTAATTTCCCTACATCAGTTCACAACTTGTCCACTTACATTACCCACACTGACTCTAGGAATGGCAGCTCCTAGTGGGCGACTGAGGGAATCCATTCTCGGGTTTATTAAGACTCATTCCGTCATGCTTAAAAAGAGGGATATTTTTATTAATGAGAAATCTCGTTTGTGTCAATCAATATTTTTTGTCATGTCAAATGGCAAATACCGCTTGTATTGCACTCTTAATGTTTTGTAACTACACATTAGCTAAAATTTTTAAACTTCATTTCCCTTGATTTACCATTTTATTATCAAAAATTAAATTTTTGAAAAGTTTTTTGACTATTTTTTCAGAATTCTTCATCATTGTGAAGCATCGATCATTTGTACTGAGTAGATGACGATCAAGAAATATTGGCATTTACGGAGGCTGGCTGATCAACAAATTGCAAAAATATGAAATATGATTTTTATAGCAATAAAATATTATGCATAATAAAAAAAACACGTTTTCCAGCTATAATCATATTTAATGCAACTTCCAACTTATTTCTCCCCCCCCCTCTTTTTTTTTTAAGGTATCTTCTTAAAATAGTCTAAAATTGGCCACGACCAACGAGCCTTATTAATTGCTTCGCTATAACTTTTGCTTGAAATGGCTTAGTACAGAAAAATACAAGAAAATAACGATAAAATTTATATCACAAAGTAGAAGTACTTTGACACCATTTTCTTGCCTAAATTGTCGATTTAAAGCATGTCACCCGCGGTGCCTCGTTTTCGTCTGGCGCCATCTTGGAGTGGGACAGTGCTTGTTCGTACTTGACCTTCGCCTGTTACACGGGGAATCCGTGTCGGTGCATCATAAGACGCTGTGAAACAAATTGACATGCATTGATAAATGTCTACTTCACACTAGATGACATAATATTTTATATGCAATAAATAGAGCTAAATCAAATTTTGTCCAATAGGAAAATCAAAACCTGGAAGAGGCTATTTTGAATAAAAATCAGAATCAGTCAAATTTCTTGATTTATGGACTTTAAAAATGATTTTAACCTCGAAGTCATGGTTTTCATATCTCAAGCAATCAGAGATTGAAATGATTTTGATAACATTTTGGAGTTTTGTAGTGCAGACTTAATAATATGTACTTAATAACATTTAAAGTGAGCACATTTTCCCCGTCATTAATTATTGTTTCATAATCGTTTTCTTTAACCAGACCTCCCTGATAAATATTAATTTGTTTACTTTGCCATTACATTTTTCATGGTAATTTTTAATTATGAATAAGGGAAAGTAAATTGCTTTTGAAATTTTCATGTAAATAATTTGAATTTCTATTGCATATAATGAACAATAATACACCTCTTTGAAAAAGATCGTGTCGGCGAAGAATTGCTTACAGTTGAGACATAAACTGCTTACAGTTCCTCTACTGATTCTCATAAAATAAGAAAGGCCTCGATCTATAAAAATGTTTCACAACTTATAAGGTATTATAGAAGACATTGAAGAAGCTTATAACAATCTAAAAAATTCTGGTTGTTTTGCCTTGGACAATAATTTATAATGTTTTCGGGAAACTTCTTTCCGAACATGCACATTATTTCTTTACAAATCATCCTGCTTAAAGACCAGCAACTGCAGTGTTCTGTATTTAAACATTTCTGCAATCTTTTGGAAGGTATTGTCATTATTTTTCTGCTTTGTTTTAAAATTTATTTTTATTTACTTAAAAATTAAAATAGCAGTCTTAAACTATGGCAAGGAAAAAAACTCACTCCTTTATACTTGTATGTAGATAGTTACTATTTATTAGACTTTACCTTTGATGTGGTTTAATTAAAGAGTTCAACTTTGTGGCTATTTCGTTCGATTTAATTTATCAAAATATATTTTCAGACCTAAAAGAAACGCAACAGCTTGATCAGCGACAGAAAAATGTCTTGAGGGATAATATTCTGGGAAGTGAATCACACCTAAGACGGCAAAGGAATCGCGGCAATTATCCCGTAATAAGGGACAGGTCCAAGATAACAGTGATTAAAGACGTCCAGCACCACCGGACCAAGCCGCACAAAAATGTCGGTTCGCTGACCAAGGCATGGTTTGTACACAACATACTTCATCTTGCTCTGTCTACTTGGTGTTCAAACTATGTATTTCCTCCCTGCGGTAAGGGACTTCTCCTGACTCTTTTAGTTATCTTTGGGTTACATAAGAGGACTCCAACACAGTTTAACCTTTGAAGATAAGACTTGTTTACTCATTGTTTGGTGCGGTGTTTGTCTCAAGCATTCAGAAAAGGGATTTCCGAAAATAGTCTCTTGGAGTCTTAAAAACCTGAATGCAGTGAAAGCATCCTGTTTTACAACTGCGAATTCGCCGTAGACAAGAACTAAACTCTTAGTCTGAGATCCAGTACGTCAGATGAAAAAAAAAGTTGTCCTCGGACAAATAATCGTAGATCTTAATATGGGAAATTGTTAAAGATCTTTAACATTCTCCAAGATATTACCTATCAAATTTCATTAGATTGATAAAAGTCATTACAAATCTTTATTGGAATCAGACATAATCTGTCTTATCTGGGTAGCTTTGTTGTCGGTGGACAGTTAGCAGGTCATCGAGTGATAAGAGAAACCCATCACAAACCTTACCTATTTGTTATAAATTAATCACGACTGGTCTCTCTGAATTCAACCTATTTAGGAAATCCTTGTCTTTAAATATTGAATAATGGTGTATTAGATTTACATTTAGCTGTTATGATTTAAAAGGGCTGGAGACTTAAGGGAATGTTAGGGTTTACTCGATGGTAATATGGTATAAAAATAAAAATGTCACTTCAAAGTTCAAATTTTCATTGTATAATTTTATTAAAATAAGACCTATAGTACGGATCCATATTGAAACATTTTCTTCAAGCAAAAATTCGAAAATTAATTTTCCTGTGTTTCAAACAATTCAATGTTAAAGGGAAAATCACTGCATGAAATAATTCTGTTTTTTTTTAAAGTCAGAAGTAAAAAGAAGAGCTAGATTTTTAAAGTAATCTAATCAAGGACTTACTCGAATATCAGTTGAGAGATATGTATAAGCTAACATTTGGATATATATGATAGTACATATCTGGTTTCCTTGAATTGAAGAGTTCCTATCAAGGAACAGTTTATCCTTTTTATCATTATTAACTGCGAAAGACCACAAATGATGATGATATACGGGTCCTATCTGTTACAGCGAGATACGCACTTCGCTTTTCTTGCGTTTGGTAAAGAACCCGGTATCTTTTTCTTATCCTTGCAAGCGAGAGGTGTCATTAATTTCAATAATGTGACAGAGCAACAACACTCTAATCAAAATGAAGCACAAAGAGGTATATAATTAACAATCCAGTCATGTTTCAAGTAATAATGAAAAGAAATGAAATACTTTTATACCTGAGTAAAATTTTAATTGGTCTTACTTTGGACTTCAAGTGAAATATTTTAAATTTTGTAATGGTGTATTCGAGCTCAGTCATTTTGTAACGAGACGACTTCGACGCCATACCACAGAGATCCTTAAAAGTTTAACAAGCCAGCAAAAAAGAGTATATCTTATCGGTGATGATGTAGGAAATCAAACAAATAGACAATGCGAGTAAGAATACGGGCTAAATGTTCGAAAAGAATTGCTTGAACGATTCGAACACGTGATCAATCCGCACAAAGAACTCATTTCTCATGAGAAAAAAAATGTTTTAAGTACACAAGTAATGATAATCACGTTGTATTTTGTGTGACTTTATGGCTGTAATGTAGCCTTTCATTAGTTAGCAAGATATAATTTTCAAGTCACCGCCAAAAGATATTTTGTTTATATTTATACTTGCATTATTATTTAATTTATTATTATAGCTTCCAGAGAGTCACATCTTCACAAATAACACGTAAATGAAGTTCTCATGAATTAAATATGAATTAAAGAACTGCGTGTATGTATCAAAGAATTTTTTTTCCTTCAAAAAGCAAAATATCGACAATAAATATACTTGAGCTTTAGTTTAAAATAGTTAAACAAACAGATGATGATATATTTTTATCATTAAGTTAACAGTATTTAAATATATAATTTGGTATATATAATTATATGCATGTAGTTTGTTTAGAAACAATTTGAGAATCTTGTCTACAATTAATATAACGTTAGTGTCTTTCACTTATTTACATTTTTAATAGTTAGTGAGTACATGATACTAATTAACAATTAAAAATTGTAAACAAGTGTAAGACATTAGGAAGACTATTTAAAAAATTAAGTTTATCACTGAATATAAACGACATAGCCTACCTTAATTTCATTTTTCCCCTGCAAATGAATTCAAAATCTGCTAAAAATTCCAAACTCCTCGCTGTCAATATGCAAGACCTTGAGAGAAATAAAATTAATGATATTTACTTAGCATTTATTTTTACTTTCCTTGTCAGAATGTTTTTAAGAACATGAACATGGAACATGATATTATATAACAAAAAAAAAGTGAATAAAAATTGGAACTTTTTATTTGATTTTATTAATTTTAAATTACATGTAATTATTATAATTTTTTTTGGAACGATTTAACTGTTACGGGAAACAACAGTAAAATATTATGTGTTTTGAAATTACATGGGGGTTGTTATCCACGTTCAAGATTATTTGTATTACTACGTACTTTGTTACACTTGTACATGTATCAAACTGATTTGTATTTATTTTACAGCACCTGGTGAGATAGATATAACTAAAATGCTATACTGACATAAATGGGTTGTCTTATTCATTATTTCTTACTTATTTTTTTCTAGAAGTGATATCTGTTTAATTTGATTTGGTATTCTAAATATCTAAAAATTAAATAAAAGAGGAGACTGAATTAGCAGTATGCAAATAGTAAAACTTTTTTTTTAACGGGGGGGGGGGGGGGCAAAGAATTATAAAAGTGAATATCATTTCGGTTTATTAACCCTCTGATTAGAGAGACAGCTCTCACGGCGAGAAATAATTTATTCCTTTATAAAATTTTCAATTGCAAGGCCGTTTTGTCAACTGATGGCCCGCAAAGTAAGCTTAAATTAAAAACATTGCAATGACAAATTAGTTTTCTTTTGAAAAAAATTAGTAGCGTTAAAGGAAAATTTTATATGAGTGAACAGAGGGGGTGATAAACGTTAAAGAACGAACCTTTTTAAAAACGAATTTAAATAACTGCAAAATTTTTAATCTATATTTAAAAAATTCGCGGTTTTTAGAGTAAACTGACCCAACCCACTTTATACCGTATAAATTGGGTAGCTATTAAATTCATTCCTTAAATACATGTACACATATAGTAAAATTGTGCATCCGACATGTTAATGTGTTTCCAGCTAAATGAACATGGGAATAAGTATCGTATTTATTAAACCTGCTATTTACACACAATTTGATAACATAGTAGACGCTATTTCCAATTTTTTCTCTTGACAAGAATCATTACGGTGAATGCTATGAAAACTCACTAAAAAAACCTAATGAGCATGGGCGGACTTATTGCCATCTTGTATTTGAATTACAAACATTGCCCTTTTTATCAATCTTGATCAAGACAAACATTTCATATACTTAGGATTTAACAAAAAAAAAAAAAAAAAAAAAAAAAAAAGAATCAACATTGCAATTCAGTATAAGTTTCAGATTGAAAAAGAGGGGGATTGATTTTAAATAGAATATACTTGTAGGTTATTCTCGACTTGTATCAAGAAATAAATGATAGAGGTATAATATGTATGGCATATTATTTAATACCGGTAAAATAAAGGTAACACTCACTTTAATAAGACGATAAAACAATTGAATATCAATAAATCATGTTAAAGTTTTATCTTTTATTACCTGCGATGATTACGTTTTAAACGTGTTTTATTGACGATGTGTCAAAGGGATTTCAAGTTCTAAAAATATTCTCGATGTCCCTGAACTACATGTAGCGAAGAGGTGCAAGCTTTTCAAATCATAACAATTTTTTTAGTAGTAATTTTGTAAACATTGAGTTGTGTGTAATTTTTTTCTTTAGATTCATGTAGATTAAGCAACACACATGTGTATGTAATATTTCTAATCTTAGAAACCTTATATAATGCAGAATTAATAATAAAATTTATAATCTACAACAACAAAGTCAACATAAGGAAAATAACGATTTTATAAATAAAATTTATAAACAAGATAAGTTAATACTGCATTTCCTGTCATCAAGAACCCTTTATTTCCTTGACAGGTATATCATTTCCCAAAGGCAGTTTCTTGGGTGCAGTTTCCTCAATATTGTTCAAACCTGTCCATTGTCTTGAACCTTTGTGTCCCAGTCTGTATGGTTGTAATCTAAATTTGGACCCGATTGACCTATCATCATGTAGCTCCTTGTCAGTCCCCTGCTGACCTGCCCTTTGATTCGGAGGGTCGCTTTATTTACGCGTCTTATCTTATCAGGGGACAAAACTCCAATACATTTAGTCAGGAAGTTAGTCCAGCCTTCTTGAGGGTCCCTCTGTCCCCGGGTTTTGCATCTGATCTCTTTAATCATTGATGAAGTTTATGTTCGTATTTCTATCTTTTTTGTCATTTCAAATGTGATAATTTATTTCTTCCGTAGTTCGTTGAAGATTTGACAATATTTTTTATTCAGAAAATTAAAAACATGTTTTAAAAAACACACATGAAAAGTCTAACTGTTGAACAAGAGAGTGGTTCCTTGCACCTTTTTCTTGTTCTTGTTGGATCAGAAAACTTGGCTTCAATGAGAAATTCACTTTGATAAAACAAAAAGCAGATGAAACCTCGGGTCAAGACATGAAACTGAATGAAAGCATTTGAAATGGGGCGTAACATTAGGAGGATGTCTGTTGTGTTGGGGAAAAAACAGAATGTGTAACGACGGCTGCAAAACCGTGTGTGGCTTTACAAGCCTCTCCAGACGAAATCCAGAGCCCGAGAAAATTCACCGTGACATGCAGGAAAGCTAATCAGACGCTTGATTAAGCCACAAAAACCTTGTAATCAGGCTTAATTTATGAAACTATAATTTCTGAATATATGATCATTTGCTTCTCACGGCAAACAATGGCGGTTAAATTCAAGATAAGACGTGATTTAGGAATTGGCAATTAATAAGTCGGCCTACAGGGGAGGTACTCCAGACTCCGATTGTCATAGTAACGGCTGTTCCTTGTCACCAGTCATTGTTTTAATACAATTTACACAAAAAATAGCTAGCAAACAATTTTGCTTGCCTTTCACTTTTGTGTATTTTTATATATATGTGAGGTAACCTGTTTCAAA